ACGAAATTTCTCTGTGTTTTTTACCCTTGTCTATACAAAATGACAAAATAAATCTGTCTAAGTCATAAGTAATTATTGGCTTTTATATTCTTATAAACAATGAAAAATCTAAAACAAAAAAGAGTGTAGCACATTTTCCCAACGTAAAAGTTGTAGTGTGAACTAGATGAGGTTATCTATTTTTGGAGGCACTACAATGATCTATAGTGTAATTATTGGCTATTATACTGTATGCTTATAATAACAAAGACAAAATCTCCAAAAATAAAGTTTGGCCTATCTTCCCAAAGTAAGAATTGCAGTATGATCCAAATGAGGTTATCTATGTATCCTACAAGTTTGGAGGCACTACAGTGATCTATAGTGTAGACATTGCCCATTTTATACTTATTCTAATAATATAATAGAGGTGCCATTTGTCATTTAGGCCTTTGGAAAATCCTCAAAAAAGTATTATTTTCGAATCCAATAAATGTGATAATAATCCACCTCTCCTTGCTCTAGTATTCTGTTTTTTTTTGTTTTTGTTTTTTTATGGGAATAAATAAATGTTTTTTTCTGGTCTCTCCATCACCTACCCATAATCAGTTTAAGGTGTTTATTTTATTCAGAACTTCTGTTTTTGTAGTAGAGATGAGGAATTAGAACCACTGCATTAATTCCGTATTGTCAAAAGAAAAGACTTAAAAACCATTGCTATTGGTCCACAAAGAGCTGAATCTATTCGGCTATAAAGACCTTGCTGAGTTGCTGGTCAGTTAGGAACCATTTGGACCCCTGAGACCCTCAGAGACTTCCCATAACCAGAACCTAACAAAGTGAGGCAGCATTTAGTTTCTATGCTGCTCAGCTCTGGATCAAGCTCTGTTGGTTCATTTAAATCAGGATTAAAACCTCTTTGTAAACTGCAGTTTTTGACCCAAGAGTCAGATTATCTATTTGTCTGATAAGGCTGAAGATTAAATTAGTGTTGTAACATTCATTACTTTTTAAAGAAATAAATATTAAAATTAATTTAATAAATTATGTTGGGTCTCTGTGTATAAATCTAAGTTTGTTTTGGCTTAGGAACACCTCAAAAAGAATCCCAGGAACACAATGTAGTTAAAAATACACATTTATTATAAAAATATATACAACAGTCACAGTGAGTCTGGTGATTAGTGAGCAACATAGAAACAATGCACAGGGAAACATTTTCTCTAAATCAGGCAGAACTTTTCTTCTGAAAACGGTTCTTCCAGAAAAAATCCAGACCGATGAGTGAGCTCTGCCACCATTAGGATATAAAAATAGAAAAGAACATCAGGCTCTTTCTCAGACAGAAAATGAAGGAGCTGGACTGAGTTGTCTTTCACACATCACACTCATTATCTGCCCAAGGCTTTTCAAAAACAGTGTGAAATGAGGTCAGCGCCCGCTCCTCCGATGGAGAATCACCTACACCGCTGGACCGGACCATAGACGGACGCACCCAGACAGAGGGAACCATCACCTCCCCTCCAACGCTCAAACACACAGATGTGTTACTAAAGGGTTGCCATGACAACTTTCTCCCTTTTCCTTTCGGTCAGGAAGAATGTGAGAGTCTGTATGAGGCATCACATACACATAAATAATCATCAACACATCCCATCATATTCACTGGGTACCACTAATTTGAACCTTCCAGAAGCTCTGATACACGATCCTTTGCAATAACAGGGAATTAATATGTTGAATTTCATGCAAAAGAGATTTTACAGTATCATAGGGGTTCAATGTTAAACAGGAGCAGGTAAAGGCAAACGCTTGCATAGAGTCACCAACAAGGATCTGGATCAAAGGAAAGGCAAATATTAAAGAAACCGTTCAAAGTTCTTGATCTGAGGGTCTTTATACCAACTGTAAGCCATGACTGTCTGACCTGCAGGAGATAAGTCTCTCCTGGTTCCTCCTCTAGTAAAAATCCAGCTAACTTCTGATTGGTCTTAAGCACTAAGCTTTGTGTTCAGGCTCTCTTATTTACAGCTGCTGACCATTACTCTGGAGGCATTGCACCTTCCAGTGTGAAACACATAATGATAATGGAAAACGTAGAGCATTTCTGGTCACAGTCTTTATTTATAAAGAGGTTTTAAAAGCAATTGTTAATTTTTATAACTTTGCTGATAGGTTTCTCTGCTTAGTGTTCGTTTCACACAGGAAGACATTTGGCAGTGCACTGCCTCCAATTTCTATCTGGCTAAATCCCAGACCGCTGCCTAAGCACTAACCCTTAACTATCAAGTCTCACTCTCAATAAAGTCACACTTGCAGATGTGGAAGGTGACTTGACTGAAGGGGGGGTATAAATGAGAATGGGACGGCCTCTTCCCTCCAACAGAAAAAGAAAGCAGCCATTGTTATGGCAACACAGTGATTCCCCGTGTGTGAATGTAGCTCTAAGGCGCAGGGTGACATAAAATATTAAATTTTCCCCTTCCTTTAAACTAATGTATTCGGTTAAATAAAACTATTTCAAATAGGACCTTTCCTTTTGGAATTAATTACATTTTTCCTTTCTACCTAACTTATGATTTTTCATCAGTGTGATGAAGATGCAGCAAACCTGTACTTCTATTAACACTAGCTGCCAAATTCCAGCGAGCCTGCAACTGATGCAGACTCACTGTTTAAGGGCTGGACAGGCCACTGGCCCTACCCACTACTTGGTTTTGGAAGGCCCTTAATGTGGCGGAACACACAGACGGAGGGTTAGTGCTCAGGGTTAATGCTTACGGGCCGGTTTGGGATAAGGACTCTGTGTTAGGAAGCATCTATTTCTGTGTAAAAATTTTTAAAAAAAGCACATCCAACATAAACATTCATAGAATAATGTTTGCATAAACAGCTGGTTTTATTTATTTATTTTTTTTGTTGGAAGTCATTTGAAGATGGAAGGTGCGTTTTGATCTCTGCATCCCTTTTGGATCCAGAATCAGAATGATGGCACCAAGAGAATCGCCTACAGCAGGTAAGATGTCTTCTGCTTATAATATATAATCAGAACAATAAAAAACTAAATAAAACCTTAAATTTTCACAGCTGGATCTCAGTGTCTCTCTGCAAAGTTCCTTTAAATGAGGTTTTATTGTTTTATGGTAAAGTCCTGCTGGAAATGTTTTAAACTCCACTGGAAACACCTGCTCTGCATAAACACACACATCAATAACTGGATGAATGAGCATAATATTCAGAACAAGCAGCATGAGTTTTAAAGCACTGCTGATGTCACTACAGCTGCAGGTAAGTCCAACTCTGAGAAGCTCTGCTGGCTTATATTCTGCTGATACCTCAGGTGATGATGTCCTTTCTGAATAAGTAGGAAGTTATGACATTAATCAATTGAGAGGTTCAGATTTTCCTTTTACACTTTTCTAAGCATAATAACGAGATGTAGTACCAATTAAATTTTACAGCATCAAAGTTAAATGAAGAGAAGTTATAATTAAAAGGATCAGATTTGATGTTTTTTTTTTTTATTTCATTGAAGTCCTTTTATCAACTCTTATCACAACCTCTACACAGAGCAGAGTTTTCTGCTTTTTATGGCAAAACTCTGAGAGAAATCTGTAGATTACTCTTTGGTGACCATTTAATGGAGCTCCACAGATCCTCCCCATACTAAACATGAGGAATGAGACACAGACCAACCTAACCTAAATTAGATGTTTTTTATCCTTACCAGTTTAAAGAGGCCAAAAGAGACCAAAACTGTCACAATATATTATAGAGGTTCTGCATATTTAAAGTATTTCAAATGATCTTTTTCTAATGTAAATAAAACATCAATATGAGGAAACGTTTAGAAGGACAAGCTCAGAAACATTTAACAAATCATCTGAGTTATTAAAGTATACATTTGTTTGATAAAGCATCCTCCAATATTCTTAGGCCTGCAGTAGTTCCCTGAGGTCCTGGTCCATGCCCCGGGCTCCCAGCTGTTCCAGGCTGTAGTAACGGTGGACCACGGAGTCTGCAGTCACCACCACCACCCTGACGCCGTGGGTGTCTTTACCGAGCTGGCAGCCAATTGCTGAGGTCACCACCATGTCCAGGCCGTCATGGCAGCCGCCGGCGTTCTGGTGATAATGGCCTGTGAAGACCGCCTTCACACCTTAGAGCCATGGACAAGGGGATTAGAGAGAGGAGACATAAATTTGTGTAAACTTCTAATATAAATTCTGTGGATTTTAACAAGACACAAATAAAAAGATTTCTGCAGACGTAGAGTTTTTCCATCAGACTTCTGAAAAGCTTCATGTCTATTTGCAGCCATCACACCCAACAGGCAGCTGGGTTTGAAGGCTGTACTAAAAGTGTGTCCTTCATGTTTCCTGGATGAGCTCTGCAAGGCCACAAATAATCTCCAGGTTACAACAAGGACCAAAGAAATGAAGTAAATGATGGAAAAGGCAAATATTGTTAATTTTGTTCGAGAAACTCAACCAGATATTAGTGCTGCTTCTAGAGAGGGTGTCCCAGGGGCATATGTAGATATATAAATTAATAGTACAGCTGCACATTATCATAAACACAGCATTTCAATTTTTAATTGGGTTTAACTTTTTATTTGAAACAGGTTTTCGATTTTAGCTCTGCTATGATGTACAGGTAGAAAAATGTGAGTGCTCTGTGTAATGCTGCCTTCATGTGGTATTGTCAATATTGTAATAGTTCATAGTTAAAAAGAATGAGCTCAAAGTTCAAATCACACAGCTGAAAATGAACCCAGCTCACATTCAAAGTTCAAAAAAGAACTAAGTTCACAAACCTATAAATGAAGTAGTTTAAGTTCATTTGGCACAGAACCTCATATTTCACCCTATAAATGTGTGATCATAATATATAGAAAAAAATGGAAAATACTCGGTGCAGTCAAGGTATACTATATGTGCAGTGAAGCCTTTATTTAGCCGAATTACACAGAACTTCAGAAACATCCAGGTACATTCAGGTTCTGCTGAAAAGATCTGAAACAAATATGATTTCTTACGTTACTTATTGAGTAGCAGATATTTCTGAAGATAGTTCAGATGCTTTATCTCTTTAAATTTGAGGAGGACGTTGTTGTGATACGGACTTGTGCAAAGTTTGCACAAAAACGTGAGTTTTTTTCCTGTCCAAGTACCGGTATTCCTTTGTTAGCTCATTAAACTCTGCAAAGCGCTCTGCCAAACTGGCATCAGATATACCAGAAGATGAGTCTGAATCACGCAGACTAGTACTAGCAGTAGACATGCTGGTCTGTCATGCTTCTTTCTATAAGTGCAGTAGAACTTGACGTTATCTAATGAAAAGTGTTGCTATCAATTAAAGCGTACAAGAGCAGAGTGTGACGCTCATTCTTCTCAGAATGAGCGTCGCTC